ATAGATAGATAGATAGATAGATAGATAGATAGATAGATAGATAGATAAGGTGGAGCGAGTGAACCCCTGTCTCAAGACAGCAAAAGGGAGAGACATGATTGAGGAGCACATCGTGACATCAACCTCTAGCTCCCACACATACCTACAGACCTTTGTGCATGCATACCCCACTGCCCTTCCTCCTCCTGTCAGGATAGCGGCCATCTTGCCCTGGATTTTAAGTAGCCACTACCCCAAATGGAATACATCCTATTTGTTGTTTTTGTAAAAGCTCCTGATCTCAAGACCAATTTCTGTCCTGCTGTGTCCCAGTTCAGAGGAGTTCCTGATGGGAAGAGAGAATCAGGTTTGTGGGAGTTAGTCTCAGAAGATAGTGAGCAGAAGTGGCGTGATAGGCCTTGTTCTAAACCTGCAAGGCACATTTGGCAGGCTGTGAGTGGATCCTGGCATGACATCACAATTGTCCCATGGCCCATGTTGTAGATGAACCCTGGGGACACCACATTGCCCTCAGTCCTGCCCTCTGTTCCCTCTGGGGAGGCAAATGTTGGCCAATGCCCATCCTACCCACGGGGCATCACTGAGCAGCCTAGCATCTAGCCCTTCCCTCAGCTTCACATCTGAGTCTGGCCACAGGATGGCTTGGGCCAGTCTGGGTAGTTCAAAGATCGGGAAGTGGCAGCGCCTGAATGCCAGGGCTTCCTTGCTGCGTTGCCAGCACTGACTGTGGAGGTAGAGTACCAGACCCCGTAGAGTCCCAGATACCAGCTCTCTAGAGGATGCTGAAGAAGCTGAGGCCTTGAGGAAGGGGGCGTGGCGCGGGGGGGGGGGGGGGGGGGAGAAAGAGAGAGTGTGTGTGGGAGAGTGTGTGTGTGTGTGTGTGGGAGAGAGAGAGTGGGGGGGAGAAAGAGAATGTGTATGTGTGTGAGAGAGAGACCCAGAACAATTAGGCAAACTTTTCCTAATGAGTTTACAGGGTCTTAGTACATTTTTCATAACTGATCTGCAGCAGGAATTGTAAATTTGACCCTTTACCTCTTAGGAAAATTGGAAGCCTTGGAATTTACAGGCTTTCTTTGCCAGACAGCCCTCTTGGTTTTTGTTGTTGTTTTATCTGGCTTTATTTTGTTTTTGTTGTTGTCTCAATTCCCAGCCCATAACAGTTACTCAAACAGCCTCCAGGTCTAGCCTGGCAGCCTACACCTTTGGTTCCCGCACTCAGGGGACCCCGTCTCAAAAAGAAGCCAAAAGTATTTAAATAAATGAAAACACTCCAGCTGTGTTTGCTGTGTGCCCACCGCACACCTTATCCTTACTGGACAGAGGGGGAAAGTGCGTGAGCCACTGAGGTACCTGAGAGCAGAGAGTGAGCTGTGAGGGAGACAGGAGGGCTGTGTGCTGCTCCCGTGGGGCGGAACAGGGAGCTGGGCCACCGGGAGCCTGGTCTTTCTCGTCTGTAACCGCTGCCTTCCTCCTTCCCACAGGAGCTGAGCTGCAGAGTCAAGAACAGTAAGTCCTCTTTTTGTCGCACTTGTTGCTGCTCTGTTGACGCAGTGACCTCCGCAAGACGGCCTCTTGTGCGTGCTTGGGACGGGTTCTCCCTGTAACCGTGCCATCTCAGATGGATTTTCAGGGTTGCCAGGGGCGGTACCCTAGTGCGCCTACCTATGCCCGACCCATTTAGTTCTTCACAGGATCCATGGTGCTAGCTGGGCTTTCGGTTTGTTGTTGTTGTCTTCATTCATTTATCTGTTTGTTCATTTTTTCCTATGCTGCGTATAGCAGCCATTTGCTCAGACTCAGCAAGCTCTCACCACTGAGCCACAATCCCAGCCCCTGGCTGTGTTAAGGATGAGGCTCATACCTCAAGTGTCAGCGCTGATTAGGGGCCATGACCAATAAGATCAAAGACGCTCTCGATACTGCCCCTCCCTCCTGTGTCCCGATTTCCCATGGCTGCTTCTCCAAACCCTCCTCCCCCACATGTTCTGTGTTCGTGGAGCTCTGTGAGCACCCTAGACCAGCGTTAGGAAAGAGCAGGGTGGACACCGGAAGCTTTCGAACAGTTGCAGAACCATGAACCGTGAACCATGCTGGAACTCCTAGCAGCTCTCTGGTCCCTCTAAGCAGATCTTACGGTCTTGGCTGCCCATCTCTGATAGTTCTCCTTGCCAGGTTCCTGCTTGGAGGACAGCTGGGTCCACCCTCAAGACATGACTCCGTCTTCCCCGAAGCACGTCAGTGTCCAGCTGAACTTTTCCTCCACCCGGCACGGAGACCTCGTCCCTGTGTTGCACATTGAGTGGACGCTGCAGACAGATGGTGAGTGGCCATGTCCTATCACGTCACTCCCAAGGTCTGCCCTTCGGAGACTACTGCTGACTCCTGTTTGGTGCTGGAAGGTTCCATCATTCACATAGGGAAAACTTCCCGTCTCATGCCCACAGAGTATTTTCTATTCGAACTGCCTTTTTGAAAGGCCTTCCCTAGCAATAAACTTTTTTTTTTTTTCATTACATGGGAAGATAAAGGCAAATGGCTAACTTTATAAATAATTCCAAATATTTGCCAGGAAAAAAAAGGTAGCAGCTTGCCAGCTGCTTTTTTTTTTTCTTAGCTTAGGAGCCAGAACTTTTCAAAACATACTCCAGACCTCTTTAGGGGGTTGATGGCAGAACTTCTGAACAGAGGCAGCCCCAGCCGTGCAAAGGGGCGTCAGCAGGTGCTCTCTGTAGGCCCCTCGTAGGTGTGTTAGATGCAGTGGCCTGTGGGAAGATGAGGAGGTAGCTGTCTGTGGCACCGTGTCCTGCTGCCAGGACTCTGGCCACGTGGTTGCAAAGACTTTGCTGCTTCCTGGTATAGACTGTCCCTTGTCCTCGCCCCATGAGAAGGTACTTTCTGTGAGGCCTAAGAGTGGGGAAGTGGGGAGTTAGGTAAGAGGGCATATGGGGAAGCGCCACACCCCGGAGGGGGTTGCTCTGCATCTATGTGCCCTCTCCTCCCTGGCCTGCAGCCAGCATCCTGTACCTCAAGGGCGCCGAGCTGTCCATCCTGCAGCTGAACACCAACGAGCGGCTGTGTGTCGAGTTTGAGTTTCTGTCCAAGCTGCAGCATCATCGGAGGCGGGTAAGAAGGCAGCTGCCTGGACTGTGCCTCAGTGACACCAGCACAGACTGCTTGTCCCCAAAGCTACACTAACTGACGTGAGACACTAACTGGGTGAGACACAGTGAGGGGCAGAGCCTGGCACGCCCACCCCTGCGTAGGGTTATTTCTCCCACTTGGCCTAGCTGTCTTTTTGTGTTTTGTTGTTGTTGATGTTGTTTTGTTTTTGTTTTTGTTTTTCTTGAGACAGGGTTTCTCTGTAGCCTTGGCTGTCCTGGACTCACTCTGTAGACCAGGCTGGCCCCAAACTCACAGAGATCCGCCTGCTTCTGCCTTCCAAGTGCTGGGATTAAAGGCATGCGCCACCAACGCATGGCATTTTTTATTTTTATTTTTGTAAATTCATAGTGCTGAGAGTAGAACCCAGGTACTCTGTAAGTCTGGTTCATTTGTGCGTGTGTGTGTGTGTGTGTGTGTGTGTGTGTGTGTGTGCGCGCGTGCGTATACATGCGCCCTCACCTCCGTCATTCTTCAGCATGCAAATGGCATAGCCATCTATTGATGAACTTTTAATTTATTTTTTAATAATGTATTTATTTTTAATTTATGTGCATTTTTCCTGCATGTATATCTGTGTGAAGGTGTCAGAGCTTGGAGTTACAGACAGTTGTGAGCTGCTGTGTGGTTGCTGGGAATTGAACCCGGGTCCTCTGGAAGAGCAGTCAGTGCTCCTAACTGCTGAGCCATCTCTCCAGCCCCAAATGATGTTTTTTGTTGTTGTTTTTTAAACAGGCAGAAGGGACAAAGATCTCTTGCCTCTCATTTGAGATTCTGTGGTTGTCCTTTTATCCTTTTGTTTGTGTCTTTGTTTGGCTGATTGTGGGGAGGTGTGGGATTGGAACTTTGGACACAAGTGGGTGAGGGTGTCATGTGACCCATTGCGTTCCCTCTTCTTCCTCAGTGGCGCTTTACCTTCAGCCACTTTGTGGTAGATCCTGGCCAGGAGTATGAGGTGACCGTCCACCACCTGCCCAAGCCCTTCCCTGACGGGGACCCAAACCACAAGTCCAAGATATTCTCTGTGCCTGGTAAGAGTGCCCGTGCAAGGGTCTGCTTGGTGCTGGGCTCTGGGTGAAGAAAGTGGGGTGGGGGTGGGGGCTCAGACGTCGGAGCTGAACCCTGCTCCACAGTGGCTGCAGAGCCAGGTGTGCCTGCAGCTGAGGCCGGAGCCATTATGTCTTGAAGGCAGAGTCTGTCCTCTCTTTTTGGAGACCCCGAGGCTATGTTGGCAACTAGAGCCCCTCCCTTTGTGCAGAGAGGTAGTCCCAGAAAATGCCAGATCCCTGAAGGGAGGTGGCCGGTGCCCTCAGCCTTGACCCATTTTCCCTTACTTTGCTCACTTCCCCCCACCCCACCTGCATTTGTCCAGCACCCATCCCGCATTCCCTACTCTCTTGCCCCACCAATCCACGCTGTCGGTGAGCACCGCCAACCTTCCTCTTGTGAACCATCATTTCTTCAGTGGCACTTTCTGTCTCTGCCTTGCCCAGAACCTTGGCCACCGCTTATATCCTTTCTCATCATACCTAGTAAGTAGCTAGGGAATTTTGTCTTTTGTTCCTGTTTTGTTTTACTGATGGCTCTGGAGAGAAAACTCGGAGCCACAGACACACCAGGCAAACACTTTACCCAGCCAGGACATGCTTGTTAAAGATGGGGACTGCCCCTCACCCTGAAGCACACACTGTCATGACTACACATTCACCTGCTCATCCGCTTCCTTCCCCACAGAGCCTCTTACTCTGACATGTTTGCTTCTGTGGAATTGATCTGCAAAAAGAGAAAAAGAAAACAGCAGTGATCTCCATTGTATGAGCAATGCCTAGGACGGCACAACAGGGGGCTCCATAGGCACTTGCTAAATGACTACCCACCCTCCCTCCCTGCCCCTGGGAACTTGTTAGAAACTTGATTCCCAAGTGCCCAGTGGCAAGGTGCCTGTCTGGGTTTAATTCACTGTTATACGGGCAAAAAAGAGAAAAAGGAAAAAATGAACGAATTAATAAATGCTGACTCTTGGCACCTTCCCAGGGCTCCTGAATGAGAACCTAGTGATAAGTGTGTGGAGATGGCAGAGAAGCTAAAGTGGGGGCCAGCAGGGCTCCCAATGACTGTAAAAAGCAAGGCAGAGGCTTGAAAGATGTGTATGGGAGAAAACTGGAGGAAACTGGGGATTTCTGGCCACCTGAAGCAAGCTCTGAACTCAGGAGGAATATGCTTGAGTCAGGCGGGCTCCCTAAAAGAAGAGCGTGTTCCCCAATTCTATGAGTCTCTATTTTGGCCTGAAGCAGGCTGTGAAGGGGCACAGTAGCCTTGGCCCCCAGGGCCAAAAATCTGCAAGAACAGGCTGCATGTGATGACACACATCTGTGATCCCAGCACTCGGGAGGCGGGGGCAGGCGGATCTGTGTGAGTTTGAGGCAGCCTGCTCTACGGAGCAAGTTCCAGGACAGCCAGAGCTATGTAGAGAGACCCTGTCTCAAAAAAGAAGACAAAACAAAAACACCAAAATCTGCAAGAGCAAATTCCCTAAAGGAGAGGCTTACTGATTTCTCTTTTATCGGTGTTGCAGACTGTGAGGACGCCAGCATGAGGAGGACTACAGCATGTGTGAGCTCAGGTAACTGGCTGCCCGGGAGCCCTTGGCCTGGGACACGCAAGCACGCAGTAAAGTTGGCTGTGTGCACACATGTGTGCTTGCCCACGTGACACACATGCGTAGGGTGGGACACCCCCCTTCTCACTCCCCACCTACCCTGCACCCATGGCAGGCAGCCTGTGGGACCCCAGCATCACCGTGGAGACCTTGGACAGCGAGGAGCTGCGAGTGAGCTTCACCCTGTGGAACGAATCCGCCCCCTACCAGATCCTGCTGGACAGTTTCTCACTCGCAGATAACCAGAGCTGCTTTTATGACTCTAAGCAAGTACCTGCGGTGAGTATTTCTTACCCCCACAGACATAGATTAACACCCCTCTCAAATCCTTAACCTTCCTCCCTGCTGGTCCTAGCTAACCCTGTTGCCAGAGCCCAGCACTCAACTCAGGGGCACTTGGCTGCTGCCTTTCCCTCTCAGGAGGTAGAGGGTTCTGGTATCTTTGTGGTTTGTTGAGGACAGTGGTTTTTGGACATAGGTGAAATGGGAGAGTAAGGGTTAGACTAGATATAAATACAGTGGATTACGTCCTCTTTCTACTAAACCCTGAAGTGAAGTTCATATTGAATTGCAAATTGAAAGAAGTAGGAAAAAGTCTCCATGGAGCCTTCTCCCCTGCCTTCTCCCAGCAGAGAGGCTTAGACTGAAGCCAGCTGTAAGGTGTTTGGTTGTGGGCTGAAACTTCATTCGGTCCTCTCAGTCTAGTGGGGATATGGCTTAATAAAGTCAGTTGACTTGCATTCAGTAGATGTAAGGTAAAAGGCTTGCAATCCTTAAATTCCAGAAGTCAAACTTCAAAGTTCACTGAGGCCTTTGAAGGCCTTGGACTAGTTGTGTCCTAAACTGGTAGTTAAGGGAACTAGTTATTGGGTGTATGGGAGGGTTCGAGTGGAGGAGGTGTTAGAGTTGCAAGTTTTGTTACTTTCTGTTTTCCTGCTCCTTAACTACTTGGAGGGCCCTTTCATCCGTTACCGACTCGTCGGTAGGTAGAGCGGCGATTGCACTGCGCAGCCCACCGACCGCCGTGTTCTCACCCCATCCAATCCACGCCCTCCACAGCCCACATTGTAACTGGTCTCTCTCTTTTTTAAGATTTATTTATTTATTTCATTAGGTATACAATCTTCTGCCTGCATGTACCTCTGAACACCAGAAAAGGGCACCAGATTTCATTATAGATGGTTGTGAGCCATCCTGTGGTTGCTGGGAATTGAACTCATGACCTCTGGAAGAGCAAGCAGTGCTCTTAACCTCTCTGAGCCATCTCTCCAGCCCCATAACTAGTCTCGTTTTATTTAGTTGTGTTTATTCTACTTTTTCCTAAAAAATTTGAAATTTAGAAAGAAATGAGGAGGTTAAGACAGAAGGAAAGTAGGTAAGGCCGGGCGATAGCCGACGTGTGCCCAGCACCCTGCTGCATAGACGTAGCCGAGCCTGGTCCCCAGCAGCCACAGCAGCGAGGGAAATGGCCATCACTAACCGTGCTTAGGAGCCCATCCCAGGCTAGTCACCCTGCAAGAGTACAACAGCGTTTCTAAGGGGGCGTGGTCCGCCAAGGGTCGCTTGCCCAGCACGCAGCACCAAGATCTTCCCCAGCCAGCTCCTTCCACCTCTCTCTCCAGCCCAGACAAGAAGAATTCCACCAGCGCGCCAACGTCACATTCGCTCCACACAAGTCCAAGTTGTGCTGCCACCACTACGTGCAGGTGAGCGGGCAAGAGAGCGCGTGCGCGCGGCCTTCCGCTCAGCTGGGTAAGGCGGGCCAGGCGGACAGCTCCAGCCGCTCCTGGCTGGCAGCACCACGGCTGCCTTTCTCAGCTAGTCCTCCAGCCTGGCAGGGGCCTTTCCCTTCTGTACGGTGGGAGGCCTGCTCTAACAGTCACACTGAAAACTGAGGCGGTACACCAGGTGGGATGGAGCCTGGCTACATTCCCCAGGCTGGCCTGAGGAGACTGCCTCGGCTCCCCGAGCAGCTGGGACAGGCACAGCTACCGCATACAGCTCAACAGCCATGTGGAGACCCGAGCCTGGCCGGGCAGGGTCTGTTTCTCACAGATTGTCTCTTTTGCTATGAGGGTACGGGTGGGCATCTTCTTCACCCTTCTGCTTCCCCAGGTCCAGCCCTACTTCAGCAGCTGCCTGAATGACTGCTTGAGACACGCTGTGACTGTGCGCTGCCCAGAAATCTCAGTGGCCCCAGGTAGGAGAGAAACAGTTGTCCTTGGTGTATGTAGGGCAAGAGCAGACGGAGGCCGTCCAGAGGAGAGAAGTCCTGACTGTGGGGAGAGGGAAAGTTGGCTCAGAGCTGCTGCTGCCCAACCTTAGAGTGCAGGATGACGTCTCTAAGTTGGACTCCTTGCTGCCTTGCTGCGCACCTATAGGCAAAAGACTTAACCTTTCCCGTCAACTCAGTTCCCTTGGCTGAAAAGCGAGATAATTGTTCTCATAGAGTTAGAATCATGATGTTCCACAGAAGTGCTTTCATATGCCGGGTTCACGCCTGAGAAAATGGAGGCACAGATATTGATCTGCCCGTGTTCACACACTAGGACATAGCCCAGGTTCCTACTTGGGGGTTGGCAGCCACACGTGCCTGCTCTCAGCCTTTGCCGGGTGCAGAGCAGACAGGGGCAGAGGTGGTGATGGGGCGGAAGGAACCCTGGCCCCTGTGGGAAGGGTGGTGTCTGTTAGTGCTTCGACTGAAGGGGCTCCATGGAGGCTACAGCAGGTGTAGCTATGCCCTACTGCCATCTGGTGGGTGAGGTCATAGTGGTGTCTCCGGTGGGTTGAGACTGTTGGTGGGCATCCCTGATAGGTTTAGGGCATTGGTGGGCATCTGTGATGGGCTTGGCTGACTGCTAATCATTTAAAGTAACCCTGTCCCTATTTCCTTTTGTTCTGTTACAGATTCCACTGCAGGTAAGTCCTTTCTACAATCAAAGCCATCCCGAAGGGACCTCTTGAGGTCCCAGCTGATCCCTGAGTCAGTCCAGGAAGGCACGCATGGACTGACCAATGCTGCACCCATGGCCAGCCAAGGTGCTATACTAATATTACAGTGATAATACAGTGATGTGTTAGTGCAGCCTGGCGCAGGCCAGAGAGGACAGAGCCCAGGTTGGGGGGGGGGGCTGCCCGGGCTCACTCAGTTCTGTGTGTCACAGGCTACCTTCCCCTCTGGGTGTACGGCTTCATCACGGTCATCGCCATCCTGCTAGTGGGCTCCGTCATCCTACTGATCGTCTGCATGACCTGGAGGCTTTCTGGTAAGGAGTAGCTGGCGCTCCCTCCCTTCTTCCCAGCCTTGTAGTCTAGGCTTCTGTCCAGCTGAGTTTAAGGGGCTTCCTTCACTCCATCCTTCCATGCCAAAATTAAGCAGAGCCATGGCTTCTCTTATGCAACCCAGTGAGACCTGGAGTTAAAGACGAGCTCCATGTGGGACCATCTGAGCCTCAGGCTTCTCTCTGACCAAATGGCAGGTACAATGACATGCACATCACGAGGCTGTGGTGAGCACTAAAGGAAGTGACAAGTGGGAATTGGCACGTGGTGTTTGCACGGTGCTGTTGGCTGCAGTGGTATTTTTTCCCTCGTTAGAGTTAGCGTTTGTAAAGTCACCAGGCTGGAAGGAGCTGGGGGCGAATTCCCTGCATCAGCCACCATCAGTCAAGCAGAGCAGCCCCAACAACTTCATCCTCAAGGCCCCAGGCGTGTGCCTCTGAGGTCAGAGGTGACCCTGAGGGACGGCAGGCAGTGATGGAAAGGGCTCGGGCTCTTGACCCTGAGCTCACAAGGGAAGATTCTGGGTCCTCACCAGCTTTGCAGTCACAGGAGACTTACTCTTGGATTCCATTTCCTTTTTTGTAAAACGGGATACGGATGCTTCCAAGCACCTAGAGTAACCGTTTGTTCCCTGCGTGGCCTCCCTCTGGCTGAGTTTTAATGGGGAGAGTGTGTGTAGACAGTCTAGGAGGCTCAGCTTTCCCTGTCTGGTGGCAGAATGTGTGTTCAGTCATCTGGGAAAGCTGCTTCTACACTCGCCGACCTTCATTCTGGATCGTGGTTCACCTTGAATTGTGGGGTCCACAGGATTCTGGGAAGTGTCACATGGCATCTCTTGTTAATGCCGAACCAAGCTGCTAACACATTTCCTACTACTCCTCACCACAGGAAAAGGAAAGGAGAAACCTTTCTCACCTCAAAGATTGAGGATTGAGATTAGACTCTAACCCTCTTCTTTAGGAGCTGAGACGTAACTCAGGGGTAGAGCACTTGCCCAGTATGCACAGACCCTGGTTCCCCTCCCTGGACCACAAAGAAATAACCCTCCTGGTCACATGTCCAGGGGAACAGTTACCTAAACATGTAGTTCCCCTTCCTCACCTCAAGGACAACAGGAGGAAGTGTCGCAAGGGCCCCGAGCCCCATGGGAGCTGCTTCTGGCAGGCAATGTTGTAAGATGTCCACCTTCTGCGTGGACTGCCCTTCCCTCCAGTGGAGTCTGCTCGCAGGCGCCTGGGAGGCAGAGCCGCAGGAAGGGGTCAGGGAGCACACCCCAGTCAGGTCGGTGGCTCCCAGCTTGGATAATCCAGCCCTCAGCTGACGGAGGGGCCCAGCACTGCCCACATAACCTCGAGAGTGGCCCGCCACAGACCCGCTCCTCATGCCTGTCAGAGGCATTAGCCGCTTACTGGAGCCCCTGACGTGGGGCTCACACCCACAGGGTGGAACTCGGGCTGCTCCCCTTGTCATGCAGCAGCTCCCACCAGGCACCTGTGAGCTAGTCACCCTATTTCTCTTTAGCATAAGCCGCTCAATAGATCTCCTTTCCTTGCAGGGGCTGACCCTGAGAAACGTGGTGATGACTCCAAATTCAGCGGTTAGTAGCACCTGCTCTGTAGGGTGGTCTGCCTTTCTCTCTGAAGCCTGGCGGTGGGTTCCTGGGGTAGATGGCTAGGTTGTGTTTCTGGTCAAACTGAGTCCTTTCAGAAGGCTCCACCCTTACTTGGGACACATGTCTCTACATCATTCAGAGAGGACTTTGGCGTGCCCCAGACACAGGGCCTGGGTTTCCTCTTCTTAATTGCTCAAAGAAGGGGAGGTGAACGGCATGAATTGGCACGTGTCTCCTTGTCTCTCACAGGCATCTTGCCCACAGCCGACCTGACTCCCCCACCGCTGAAGCCCAGGAAGGTCTGGGTCGTCTACTCGGCAGACCATCCACTCTATGTGGAGGTGGTCCTAAAGTTCGCCCAGTTCCTGATCACTGCCTGCGGCACTGAGGTAGCCCTCGACCTCCTGGAAGAGCAGGTTATCTCAGAGGTGGGCATCATGACCTGGGTGGGCCGACAGAAGCAAGAAATGGTAGAGAGCAACTCCAAAATCATCATCCTGTGCTCCCGAGGCACCCAGGCCAAGTGGAAGGCCATCTTGGGTTGGGCTGAGCCTGCCGTCCAGCTACGGTGTGACCGCTGGAAGCCTGCTGGGGACCTTTTCACGGCAGCCATGAACATGATCCTGCCGGACTTCAAGAGGCCAGCCTGCTTCGGCACCTACATTGTTTGCTACTTCAGCGGCATCAGTAGTGAGAGCGATGTCCCCGACCTTTTCAACATCACCTCCAGGTACCCACTCATGGACAAATTTGAGGAGGTTTACTTCCGGATCCAGGACCTGGAGATGTTTGAACCTGGCCGGATGCACCACGTCAAAGAGCTCACAGGGGAAAATTACCTGCAGAGCCCCAGTGGCCGGCAGCTCAGGGAAGCTGTGGTCAGGTTCCGAGAGTGGCAAGCCCAGAACCCCGACTGGTTTGAACGTGAGAACCTCTGCTTAGCAGATGACCAAGAGCTCCCATCCCTGGAGGAAGACGTGTTTGAAGACCCGCTGCTGCCACCAGGAGGAAGAATTGTCAAACAGCAGCCCCTGGTGCGGGAGCCCCCTTCTGGAGGCTGCCTTGTGGTAGATGTCTCTGCCCATGAGGAAGAAAGTGGAATGGCAAAGCTGGTTCCCCAACTGCGGCCGCAGAGCGAGCTGGAGGCTCAGACCCTCCAAACCACGGTGCTGCCTGCTGAACAGGTCCCTGCAGCTGGCGTGGTGGACCCTGTCCACTTTCCGGATGGCACCGGAGCAGCTACCCAGCTGACCCTGGCCGAGGACAGCGAGGCCTGCCCCCTGCTGGGGGTGCGGAGGAACAGCATCCTCTGCCTCCCCGCGGACTCAGACGAGCCGCCTCTCTGTAGCACTCCCATGTTACCACCCGACCGCCTCCACAGTGAGGCGAGGGAGCAGCTAGAAAGCCTGATGCTGTCGCTGCTGCAGCAGAGCCTGAGCGGACAGGCCCCGGAGAGCTGGGCGAGGCCCGCCGCGGCCCTCAAGGACTGCACACCCTCCGAGGAGGAGCAGCGGCAGTCCGTGCAGTCCGACCAGGGCTACATCTCCAGAAGCTCCCCGCAGCCCCCCGACTGGCTCACTGACGAGGAAGAGCTGGACCTGGGCGAGTCAGCCGAGCCTCTCTCTCCTGCCGTCCTGCAGAACCTGAGGAGCCTCCAGCGGCAGCTCTTCTTCCAGGAGCTTGAGAAGAACCCCGGACGGGACAGCTTGGAACCATGGAGACCCGCCACAGAGGAGCAGGCCCCGTCCTAGGGCCCCCTGATCCCGGGGTGCTTAGGAGAATGTATGATGTACTGTCGTGTGCTTATATGTGTGGAAAGCGCCTGCTTTGAAATGTGGCTATCTAAGTCTGGCATAGTGTTGTGTCCCTGAAGTCCCAGCTCCTGGGGACAGACTTGATGATCTCCTAGACCCAAGGGTTCAGGGCCAGGGTGAGCACCATAGCAAGACCTCAGAAGAATAACATAGACATCTTGATTCTGATCCCTAGGCTCTCCCCTTTACATATGTCTATGTGGTCATCATGGCACAAGAGTCCACAACCCATTTTCATTCACCCTTTGACATTGTATTCTGTGCCTACCATACATCAGGCATTTGGGATTCAAAAACAAGTTACCTGACACAGCCTCGGCCATGTAAAGTCCAGAAAGGATGCACCAAGCAAGGTGGCACACACCTTCGATCCCAGCACTCGGGAGGCAGAGGCAGGAGGATCTCTGTGTGTTCAAAGCCAGCCTAGTCTACAAAGTGAGTTCAGGACAGCCAGGGCTCTGTTACACACAGAAACCCCATCTCAAAATAAATAAATAAAGACCAAATCTAGTCAGGATGAAAAATTAACCAGGATGACAATTTTAGACATGAGGCTCAATAGAGGACTGCTGCCCCGAACTGCAAAAGAACCCCAAGAGCCTGGGGGCGTGAGGTCTGGGCAAGGGGAAGCTGCTTTCCTGGGAGAGGAGCAGCCTGTGGACTGGGTGTTCGGAAGGAGCCGGCGCTCGGGGGAGAGAGTTTCGTGGACTAGGCTGGGAGCAGCTGGGGCTCCGTTCCTAAGTGGATCTGCTGCCCTGTGGGGAGAAACTGCATGCCAGATATGCTCAGAAGCCTGCTCAGATCAGATTTTTAGAAAGTCGGGATAGAAATGGGTGAGGCAAAGCCGGAGAAGCAGAGTGTGAGATCCTGAGCGCAAGCGCCGGCTGCCAGGCCGGGGGAGGACTGTGGCACGTGACTGCATAGGCCGCAGCCACCCACCTGATCCCAGCAGCGTGGGAGCCTGCGGTCCCTCAGCTCTACCTCGGGGTGGGGGGTGGGGGTCGCAGGACAGTGGAGAACGTGGCAGGCCCTCCAGGGTCAGAGGAACTGCCCAAGGTGTGAGGACAGGTTGTTTAAGGTTGCTGGGCGCCCTCTTGAGGCAGAAAGCAGGCTCGCGCCTTGGATCCCAGAGCATGCGCAAGTATGCATGCCCTGAAGCCCAGGGCAACCCGCTGCCAACTTTTCAGGCTTTGGCAGGAAAAGGACCGTGAAACGCTGTGGGGAAAGAAAAGGCAGTGATTGTGTGTGTGCATGTGTGTTTACAATAATAAAGTTGTTATGTTGGTAAGAGCGCATAGTTGTTAGAGAATCACCTTGTGCCATAGGTCTTGGAGTTCCTACTTTTAGAGTCCTTATAGACAAATCTTGCCTAGCATTAACAAGCCCTTGAGGTTCAAGTCTCAAACAGTGCAATTCATATCCAACCCCGCAGTAGCTAAGGGCTGGGTGAGAGAAAGCAAGCCTGCCCACCCACCAGCCTTTTCCAGCTGTATCTTCTCAGAAGTTCTGGCAGTGAGGGTCTTGGTGCCTGGATACCAGTCAAGCCTGTGACACGGCCCCTCCATCTTCATATATTGACTAAACACCAAGGGGACCTCTCAGCAGTGAATGAATCAGCCCCTCATGAGCACAGAGCTGGCTCCCAACAGCGTCCTCTCCAGCCTGGCCCAGTGCTCACAACCCTCAGCTCCCAGCTGCTGCCCATTAGACCGTATCAGTAAACTGAACCTTCTGACCCCTAAGGCCTTTCTGAGACATTCACACATCGTATGGTTTACAGTTGACCCCGTGTAATTGAGTGGGTGGCTTGGTATATTCAGAGTTCAGTGACTGTCAGTATAATTGGCTTTAGAGCACTTCTGTTACCTCAGAAAGAAACTTGGTACATCTAACCACAGCCCCTACCTCCTCAGCCCTGGGCAGCACCAGGTCTGCTTTCTCTCCTAGACATGTCTACTCTAGATTTTCCATACAGTGGAATCAGAATTCTCCAGGCTCTAAATAGGTATAGCAGGCCTGGACAGACTTGGGAAGAAATGAAAATGTGCCCTCATCTTGTCTTGTAAATGTTTTCTGTATATATACATTTTGGCCTGTAAGATTTATCACAGGCGTGAGAAAAGAACCATCTTGGCATATGTCACCTAATTTAAATTTTTAAAAGTTCTTTTATTTATTTAATGTGTGGTGGGGGAAGGGCACGTGCAAGTGCCATGGTATGCCTGTGGAGGTCAGAGAACACTGTGGGGACAGTTCTTTTTCCACCATGGGGTCCAGGAAAGTGAACTCAGGCATCCTGGCATAGCAGCCAAGTGTCTTTACCCTGGGAGGAGCCATCTTGCCGGTCCACTCCTTCATTTTCTTTTGTTTTGTTTTTCAGGACAGATTTTTCTCTGTAAAACCTGGCTGGCCTCGAACTCACAGAGATCCACCTGCCTCTGCTGGAATTAAAGGTGTACACCACCACCTTGCCCCTCCCCCCATTTCATTCTTTTTTTTTTTTTTTATTTTTTTTTATTTTTTTTTATTTTATTTTATTTTTTCTTTTTAGTTACCTTTTCTTAACTCCGTGTCCCAGCTGTATCCCGCTCCCTCATTCCCTCCCCAACCCCCATTTCATTCTTAACATATCCCTTCAATCTCCATGGCTCCTGCTTTTATTGTCGTTGTTTTGTTTGTGTATATATGTTTAAACATATTTATTTATTTGATGTATATGTCTGTATATCACTTGTGTGCCTGGTGCTTGAGGAGGCCAGAAGAGAGCATCAGCTGTTCCCTGCAACTCCCTGTTTCTGGGACATGAATCTTGAGAGCATCCGGCTAAAATGGCTCTTAACTTTGAGCCATCTCTCCAGTTCCTACAACTTTTTTTTTTTTTGTGGGGGGATGTGAAACCCCAATGGTCTTCGTGAGATTCAATAGTCTCCTTCCTGTTTTTCTGTTTTTGTTTGTTTGTTTTTAAACAATGACCTGACTGGCACCCTGTGCTTCCGGCCGAGGAAAGAGTGACATCATAGGGAAGGATGTTCAGATGGTTTCTTGCTGGGCACATCCCCGTAGTCCCAGGCACTTTTGAGACTAAGGCAGGATGATTCCTTGACCTGGGGTGACTGAAACCAGCCTGAGCAGTACAGTGAGAGCCTGAGTCACACAGGTAGAGTTGCCACTCCTGCCTTCCGCCCTGGTAAGCGACTCCCCAAGTGAAAGAAAGCTGGCACAACTGGGAGGTTTCTCTGTGAAGAACCAGACCCCAGGCCCAGGCCACAGTGCACAGCCTCCCCAAATTGCACGCCAAATACTTTGCCAAGGTGTGTCCATAACACCAGTGCCAACCTACAAAACGATGACAAATGTCACTGTGACATTTAAGAATTCAGTGAGGAAATCAGGACAGAAATGGTCTTAAACCACACAGGAAGCTTGTCACAAGTCTCAAGCTTTTATTTTCAGAACAGAGTGGTTTTATTTTTAAAAAGAGAGAAAAAATGTGATAAACGCTAGTGAGGTGCTGCTTCTCTGTTACTTCTGGGCTTGAGTTCCCTCTGCACCCCACACACCCGGCCCAGTTCCCAGGGCACTTTTAACAGGAATAGTCTTGGTTGGACACCCGTTTCCTTGGGAGGTGAAGAGGGCTACCTAAGCCCCGAAATTCTAGGCCAGCCCTGGGAACATAGACCCACTCACAGACTCAAAGAAAAATTTAAAAGGTGGGGTGCAAGTCTTCAGAGAGAGCACAGTCTTTCGACTGAACACAACTGAGTGTTAAGGCCATAGCTCAGCAGGCTGACTAGCATTCGCCAAGCATGCCCTGGGTTTAATGCCCAGCACTGCAAAGCAATTAACTCATTTTTAAAAACAAGTACCATTTGGAGCTCAGGTAATAGGTCCTCCCCTTCCATGCCCAAAGGCTAGAAGCAGGCAGGGCTAAATTCTGAGCCCAGGCTTCTCTTCCATGATCCATTCCCTGGCACAAACCTCAGGACCGTGTATTATTCTGGTCATGACATCTTGGGGACATCTATCTACAGATTAGCCTAGAAAGCAAGAAAATAATAGGCCTTAAGGAACAGGGGAATGTGTGACCCAAAGTAAATACAGTAGAAGGAAGGGACCAGCCCCTGAGCACAGCAGACTCACAGAAGACAGAAGAGAAGGCTGGAGATGTCCTGGGCCCTCACTGGGCCCCCACCAGTCCTGGCCTCTGGCACAAGTGTGACCAAGTCTCTTGATGTAACAGGGAAATGGCAACCTTCCATCCTGAATCCAGTGGCCGTGCCCCTGCCTCACACAGAAGTCACACAGCAGAGGCATGGCTAGCCAAACAGTAGAAAGAGGGTGGGTTGGGGGCCAGCCAGAGCTGGCCATGGCTCAGACAGAATTCCTTTTCACAGTCATTGGAATTAGGTAGCAAGAAACGCAGCAGAGCTGGAGGACAGACACATAACACTGAGGCAGCTAGTCTCAGGCCCGGGACCTTGTGACCGGTCAGAAGTGGAGTCAGCCAGGACGAGGAGAAAAGGCAGGTGTTTTGTGACTAGCGGCAGGCACCAGGAGCACAGAGGGCACTGACTGTAGGCATCCTCCATGTGGCACACTCCAAGAGCTGGGCAGGCCCACCAGTGTGCCAGCCTCTCATGCTTCCATCCACATAGATACCCTCAGCCCAGAACCCTGGGCAGTTGAGAACAAGGGGCCCTGTGCAGCCCCTGGTTCTCAGAAGCTCCTAAGGGATGAGGGACTTGGGCCTGGCTGCTGAGTGAGTAGCCAGTGGCTTGGCACATTGAGCCTGCCCCAGTGCTTTGAGCTTGAGAGGGGGCCGGCATCAGCGGACCCTGTGATGCCTATGCCCCAGCCTGGTTGGCAAACCTCCCTTCAGCTCTCCCAGCCTAAGGCCAGGCACAGTGTAGAACTGGAGCCATCCTCAGGGAGGCCCTGGATAGCTCCTCTCCTGTCTGCCTTTAAGGCAGCATTGTAACCAGAGCTCGCAAGCCCCAAACTCAAAGAACACCACCCTAGAAAGGTAACTGAGGCCTAGAAACTAAAGATGACATGGTATTCAAATCTCTCAAGTAACGGACAGACCTATAGATCATGTTTTCTGGTCCCTTGTTGAGGTTCCTTATACCACATAAAATTCCCAAAACAGAAGAAAGGAGGGGAACCAAAATTCTTAAGGTCTCCCCCTCCCCCAATCTTACTGTGGGGATGAGTATATCCTGGCCTTGCTCCCTAACCTCTGATCCTTGACTCCTCACAGAATACTTATCCTGCCTTAGAGACTCCAAGAATGACATCCCTTGTCAAGACTAGAATGGCCAACCCTGATTTCCCTTGAGGGACAATCCTAAGGAGAGCCTCGCCCGGACCCTGTGGGGGAAGGCTTAGCAGGAGGCTCCGCATGTGCCTGCTCTCTGATGAGACCTGCAGCAGAGGAGAGATGAAAGGTCAGCCCGCCCTCCACTCTACACCAGTCTTTCTGAAGGAACAGGTGACCCTCCCCAGGGTCCCCTAGAGGCCCGACCTCCAGACATTTGAACCCACTAAAGCAGCTGCTCTGAACCTGGTTCCAACCCAACCAGCACCAACACGGGAAGGGTAAGAATTCTGGTGCGGAGGGAGGAACCAAAGGAGAGCAAGCCAATGGCTGACACTCCACAGACCCTGTAATAGCTGGTATCAAACCCAAAGGGATCCAGTGGCCCCTGCTGAATGCAACTTCTGAGTGTTTCATTTTCTTTCTTTTGCAAGTGGCATCAGTGTGTGATGCGACGAGAATGGAAAGCACAGAGGTAGGAATATGCGCTCACCCAAGAAAGGGTGTCGTTTGGTCCTTACAGCATAGGCCCTCTCCTCTCGAAGCTGAGCAGAGAGGAAGGGGGTGAGGAAGGCCCTGGGTGAGCTTCTCCCTTGGAGTATAGCAACTGAGCAACTCCTGGGCTCCGTGGTCAGAAATTCAGGCAGGAAGGGATGGCGGCGGCAATGTGTGATCTGCAGCTAAGGCCTCCCTAGATCTCCTCCATGGCCAAGGGCATGGGGCTGACACCCCAAAACACCACACACACACACACACACACACACACACACACACACACACACTTCCTCTACCAAAGCCCACCACTCCTGCCCTTTCCTCCATTCTCAACCACGGGAACAGGAACCAGGATGAAGGCAAGAAAAAGCAGGTGGCACGTTTATCCAGGGAAGACTACAGAGAGGGGCCATGGTGAACATGGACCCTCCTCCACCCAGATATATTGCTCATCTCGCTCCAAGTAGTCTCTACCCGTGGGAAGAATTCACTGACCTTCGACCTTATCGACGGTTACCTCTTCTAAACGCAGCCAAGGGGGCCAGAAACGCTAAAGCCAAGATCAGGGACCCTGCCCTTCCCCTGTTCAATTCTGAGAGGCCACAGCTAGGGTGTTGACGTAGCCGTGAGGGCCCCCTTCGTTTTCCAAGTGGCCCCGCTGGGAGCCTCCCTGAGGTGGCAGTGGCGGAGGTGGCGGTGGGGCGGACGGGGGAGCACCGTAGCTGCCTCTGGCCCGACTCGGGGAAACCCAACTCCCACGGTCCCAGCAGCCCTCCAGGGCTTCCAGGCCACGGCAGCCGAGGAAGAAGAGGTTCTTGAGCATGAAGACGGACAGCGGCTGCTGGTAGCTCACCACCAGGAGGCTGCGCAGCGCCAGCAAGGGCACGTCCACCAGGCAGCCGCCCAGCAGGCGCAAGAGGCGGCTGCAGCTGCCGGGCCCGGAGGCCTGGCCCCAGGCCGGGGCGGCGGCCACGGCGGCGGCGTTGAGCTCATACAGCCAGAGGACCGGGGAGGCCAGCGTGAGGAAGTAGACGGCGATGAGCAGGTAGCGCAGGTGCGCGGGGAGCGGCACGCGGCCGTCCAGCATCAGCTCCACCAGCGTGAAGCTGTCCAGCAGGTCCAGACACGTGCCCAGGAAGCAGCCCGCGGCTCGGTGCCGCTGCGGCTGCAGGAGCAGGGGGCCCGCCGAGGCCGGGGGGACGCCCGCCTCGCTGATGGCGCGCACCAGGCTGTAGAGCAGGGGCAGCGACAGCGCCATGGTGAGGCGGAAGCCCGTGGTGCCGAAGGGCGCGCGCAGCTCGATGAGGTCCAGGATGGACGTGCCCAGGATGAGCACCACCTTGGGGGTGAAGGCGATGGAGTAGATGAGCCAGGCCAGGTAGGCGAAGGCGAACTCGCCCGCCGCCCCAGCCGCCCCCGGCCCGGCTCCCGGGCCGCCCGAACCTCCTCGGCCCCCGCGGGCCTTGGCCCCGACCCCCGCCGCCGCCGCCGCCGAGGACAGGTGCAGGGGAGGAGCCGAGTGGTGGTGGAGCTGGTGGTGGTTGTGCGCACCGCCGCCCGCCGGGCCCCCCCGACGGCCCCGGCTGTTCTTGGCGAAGAAGATGGCCCAGCCCGCCACCACCACCAGGTCGGTGGCGATCCAGGAGCACCAGTACAGGTCGGTGACGGCGATGAGGTACAGGTCCAGCAGCCCGCCCTGCGCCAGCAGCAGCACCACAGACAGCGCCTGGTAGCCCCAGCGGCCGCCGGAAGCCGCCGAGCAGCCGCGGCGCCGGCCCCTGCGGCCGGAGCGAGCCGGGCGGCCGCCGCCGCCGCAGCAGC